ACAATAATCACTCAGGGAATTCCCGTACACACACAGCTGTTACACCAGTCACTAAATAATCAATATTATGCCCTTTGGCGAAACTATACAGTCACCCACGCTATAATTCTCTATATATGAATTACCCGTCTATAACACACCCCAGTAACATCGTCTTTTACTAGTATCGGTTACAGTACGGTTAGCATAGGTCAAAGCACAATTTAAGGTCACAATACAATTATTAGTGGTTACGGTGTTAAACATGCAATAGACGACAATGATTAGTACTTATATACAGTGTCAGTAAATATACAGGGTTATGGTACCGTGCACTATGATACAACAACACACTATTAACACTCTCGCTAGACGGCTGAGCTCGCGCTATCTAACAAGATATACACTTTACTAACAATCTTTAACACATTTACAATCCCAACTAAACTATTGGCCAGTACCTTGAATGGACTACCTAAAACTATATACACCCGTTTTGGTTAGCCACACTGCCCAAACACCACATATAGCGAACTAGAGGGCGAAATTTACAAAGTTGCCCTTCTAGTCTATTTACTCTATCAAAAGTCTAGTGGGTTCCAAATTTACACGCCTTCCCACTTAGCCAAGATAGGTTGAGAGCTAGCGAACCGAATTTACACAGGCGCCGCTTAGTCTCCCGGTCCCTCCGACCTAGCGAACGTAATATACACCCTAGAACGCTAGTCTAGACAAGACACCGGTGTCCGGCTAGGGCTATTTACACAGGACCCCGCCTGACTAACCAGATCAAACGGTCTTACTAAAGAGCGTTCGATCGAGCGGTGCGCCTTCGCTCCTTCCCTCCGACAGAGGGGGCAGATTCCATACACAGATTTAAACCCCTTTTGGGCCTACCGCACAATCGGTATACCCCTAGTGGGTCTGCCGTCTAAAACAGCAGTTGTCTTACCTCCTCGTTCCTGAACCTGAGTTCACACTCATCGACGGGGACACCCCAGCACTTCTTACGTAGAGGCCGATGATCTCCTGGACAACAGACCAGTGGCGCCGAGACGAAGGGAGGTCCACGCAGAAGTTCAGGGGTGCAGCCGTAGAGAACGTGGGCAAAGATAGACCGTCTCACGCCTCTGCCTCTCAGCTACCGTTGAACGATGAGCTTCCCGGCCAATGCACCAAATGATACCGGAGAAACTGACGGAAGCAAAGCACAGAGGGATGGACACAGGTTTCTTCAGGAAGGAAGAGATTCTTTATTGGATCACCGATCGGGACTCAGAGGGACTAATGTCACCAAAAATACAGCAAGTTCTGAGCCCTGAACAATAGTGCAGGCTCCCTATATAGGCACATAACTCCTCCCATATTAAGCTCCACCCGCACATTCTCTTAACCAATCATTACAAATAAGAATTAACTTCCTGCTTGACCGCATGGCTTGTCCAGCACAATGGAGGAGGGGAATACTACATCCTGTATTCTTGCACATGCTCCGTACACTACTGATCGTATCTTGCCTCGTGCAACCAACTGATCGATACGTCAGCATATGCACGTACACATGCCACGTGGTAATCTCGGCCTACTAAATTTATTTTTACCGAGATTCCACCACACAAGCACTTTTTAATATGATTAAGCATATTGGAATTTATATAATCAGGGATTCTCTGGGCAGACCCTCTTTATTGGGATCATACTATGTTCCTTTACATTGAAATATAGTTTATTCTAATTAATTACTTATAGAGGATGTGAATATTCTTATGTTTGCATAGACAAAAGGAGAAAACACACCTATCAAGGACATTTCATTCAATAACTATGCTCTTAGCTACATGTGACATCATAGGCAGGAAGTTACAGCCACAGAAAGCCTGTTGGATGTTTGCTAGGTAAATGCATAGTATGTGTACTCAATATCTTGAATCAACCTTCTTCTAATTTAAGGTAACAATCCTAGAAAATTATAAAGTCTTTTCACTACACAGTGCAGATAACATTATTCTGGAGGTATAATTTGACTTTAGGGACTTCCATGTATGTATGTGTTGTAGCTGTAATTTTTAAGTACAGCTATAATCTTCATGCTCTTCCAGCACAGCTCCCTTGGATGTTCTGCTGTGATACCCTGCCTTCACTGAACGGCACACGAGGGACCAGTGCTTGAAGAGCATGAAAATTACACAAGCCCTACACTAGACCTCAGGAACAGGATCAGGGATAGGATAAAAAAAAAAAAAAACAGTGGAAGAATCCACTCCAGCACTCACAAAGGTAGGGAGGCTGGGTGAATTTAAATTAAAAAATTATAATAATAATTTGTGAGTGTGTGAGAGTATGTTTGTGACTGTGTATCTGTCAGTGAATGTGTGTGTCAGTATGATTAAGAGTGTCTGCAGTGTGTATGCAATTGTCAGTGAATGTATGTGTGTATGTCAGTGTGTGTCTGTCAGTAAGTGTGTTTGTCAGTGTGTCTGGGAGTGTGTGTGTCTATAAATGTGTGTCAGTGGATGTGTCTGTGAATTTGTGTGTGTATTTGTCACTGTGTATCAAACCAGTGATTGTATATCAGACATTGTGTTTCTGACACACACTCAGATACACTTACACTGACATACAGTCAGTGGGTGGATGTGTCAGTGTTAGTACGTCAGTGAGAATGTGTGTGTCTGTCAGTGAAAATGTTTTTGGTTAAACAGTGTGTGTGTCACTGACTGTGTGCCTGTCAGTCAGTGTATGTCCGTGGATGTGGATCAGTGAGAACATTTGTTTGTTATTGAAAGTGTGTGTTGGTTAAACAGTGTGCCAATGGGTTGTATGGGTCAGTGAGAGTGTGTACTTAAAAGGATTAAACTGTTTAATTAAAAAAAAAATAGTTTCACTAAAATTCATGTGATTTGTAGTAGTATGCATATATGTCTGTATATATGTGTACATTCGTGTATATGTGTACATTCATGTGTATATATATATATATATATATATATATATATTTATTTATTTATTTATATATATATATATTTTTTTTATTTTTTTTTCTGGCTAATCATGGCAGCATATACACATGGGTTAACTCCTCCCCTTACAGCCGATAGGACAGGAAAACCACCAAAGTTTTAAAAGGAGGCTCAATCCCTAAGGTCCTCAGTCTTTTTTTTTTTTTAAATCTTCATTACTTTAGTTGCCTGTTTTATTGTAGTACATTATGCAGTTGTGCTTTTATGCTGTGATGCATTTAAGCTTTGATATCTTTAAATTAGTGCATTATACAGCTGAACCTTATTTTTAAGATTGTGGTGCATTATGCGGTTGTGCTTTTACTAGGAAGCATTTAAGCTGTGTGGCATTTAAAACTGTTTCATTTAAATTTGCATTTAATACTGTTGCATGTAATACAGCAAGTCATTGGAAACTGCAGTACATTTGGAAAACTGCAGTACATTTTGAAAACTGTGATACATAGACTGTGGTGCCTTTAAACTTTGACTTTTTGCACCTGGTTGCCTTTTAAACTTCCTTGGCACTTTTGTTATCTATTTTGCTTCCCCTCGGTCCCAGTGATTTATTCCCGGTTCCCTGGGTGTTTAGGGGCCATGCAGGCTTTAGACAGAGTGCTCTCCCTGGTCTCTAAACAGCAAACACACTCGGAATAGGCCCACATGTGTGCAGTTTGTGCCTTAATGGGCCTAATGCATTTGACTTGCATTGTGGGAATACAAGTTGTGGCAGCCATCTTAGATAAGGACAATTGCCAGAAAGTTCCTAAAATAAAAGGAAAATTACAGTAAACATACCACACTTATTTGGTAAGTATTTGCAGGGTCTCCGGACATGGATAAGTGTTGTCTTAAGCCTGTTTTAAAGCTGTTTCACTGGTTTCTTATAGAATTTAACAGTGCACTGTTTTACTTAATACTTTACCACAGGTAATATTTAGTTATTATTATTTGTCAGATGTCTGATTCTTCACCAGGATCTGGTTATGAGGAGAAAACAGTGGAAGGAATCGGTTATGCACTGATTGCCTCCAGAAGGTTGTCGCTTCAACATGACCTATCACTGTGCAGCCACATGACATGAGGGCAGGGCTTACAAAGTAAGTTCTAGAGGCCTTGGGGGTAAGAAAAGAGGCCAGGCTTTACCCTGTGGAAGAAGTTATTTACAACCCCAAAACTACACCACCTAAGTTGCAAACTTATGAATCATAGGTGGACGCAGACCTGTCCAAAATTTTACGCCTACCATTGCAGGAGGCCAGCCAGCTGTGACTTCCGCTGCTTTTTCTACAAACATAAAATATGTGATTAAAGATCTAAAGGCTACTATGGAGAGAGATCTTAAAAGCCAAGATTGAAGAGGCAGTCTGAAGTCTTCAGGTTACAACTGACTTCTTCACAGAATCTTCCCTAGATGTAACTAGGATATTCTCTGGATCAAATGGCTTTATCTATAGCAGCTAAGAAAGCATTATGGTTCTGTTTCTGGGATGATGACTCATCCTCCAAGTTTGCCCTCTATTTTAAGGGGTGGTGCTGCTTGGGAAAACTTTGGATAATTCCATTGATAAGGCGAATGAGGGCTGCAAGATATTTGTACCTCAGGACGGAAGTTCCAAGGATCCCAGCTCCTCATAGTCTGACCGGAGAACCTCCAGTGACCAATATTTATGAAATACATGGAGCTACTGACCCTGCAAGGAATACTCCAGAGGTAACTCATGGCAGTTGGTAAACCTGCCTTTCAAGGTACTAATGGAGCTATTAAGCAGTCGTTTTGCTCTTCAGCAATAAACATGTCTCCTCCAGTACTAGGAGCCTCATTTTTCTGATCACACATACCTGGGCTCGTCATACTCTCGAGGCTTGAGTGGTATCCATAGTCCAGATTGATATAGACTGGAGTTTTTTCTTCAGGCACAGGAGTCTCCATACCAACAGGAGTATTAAGACCAATGAATCACAAGGTAAAGCACTGAAGGAAGAAGCCTTCTGGACGAAAAGGTGATTTTTTTTTTTTAGGTCCCAGAACAAGAGCAGTTCCAGGAACAAGTTTCGCCTCTCTTCTGGTGCTAAGAGGAAAAGCACATGGAAGCCTACACTGGACCTAAGAGGGGCTGAATGTCAGAGTCTTCAGGATGGAGTCAATCAGATCCATATCTCAAGCAATCTGGAATGATAATTTCCTTACCTCTATATATCTCGAGGATGCTTACTTTCAGTACAATCTGCAGAGATCTTCGGCATTAGCTCAGAAGAGAACTTCCAAGTTAGTGCCCTACCATTTTGCCTCCATGCGGCCCCAAGAATCTTTATATGTGCTTATATGTTATTGAGAGTCCAGAACTCCACCTGGTTCCATTATCTGGAGGATCTACTTCTGATAGCCTTAGACCCTCATATGGCAGGCACACAGAGGTATATAGTTATTTCATAACTCCTAAAGTTTGGCTGCTTGATGAATATCAAGAAAAGCAGTTTCACACCAGCTCAATGGTTGATATTCCCGAGTTGAAAATTCTATGCTCTGCTTTTCCTTATCTCAGGAACAGTTCCACAAATTGTGAAGGTTTTCTCTCCCAGTTTCTTCATTTCTGCTTGGTAACAGCAAGAAAATAGATGCAACTACTAGGAATCCTGGCTTCCACCAGCAGACTTGTCAGATGGGCCCAATGGCATCTCTGGATTCCTCACAGATCCTTCCTATCTTGTTCTAACAAGAGAAAGATTATTGGAACCAGCCACTGACTATGTCCCCATCAGTGGAGTTACACCTTACCTGGTAGCTGAAAAGAGGGATTAGATCTGAGTTTCCAGTGAACAGAACCTCATTGGTCAATTATCTCAAATTCCAGTTTTTGTAAGGTTGGTTGCACAGTGTTTGGACCATGTTGTACAATATTTCCATTAATTTGTATGGAATTACAAGTCATTTTCAAGGCCCTTCTTCACTTCAGAGGCTTGCTGAAGAACGAGTGGGTCCAAATTTGCTCAAATATCAATGCAACTGTATCCTATAGCTATACAGATACGTATTGATGGAAATCCAGCCCATAATGATCGGGGCACAGAAGAACAACCAGGGGCTCAGAATCCAATGGCTGTTCGCTTGAGTCGAATAACTGTGGACAAGGTGGATTGGCAACCATGTCCCGAAGTATCCTCGGGGTTGATGCAGATTTGTCTGATACCCTACATAGATCTGATGGCCATTTCTTGGAACTATCAGGTCCAGAAGTATTTTCTACATGCTAGGACCAGAATGCTCAGGTTCAGAATACACTGACTCAAATTTAGAATTTTAGTTTGATGTACATATTTTCCTGTTTTCGACTTTCCAAAAAAGGCAATGCAAAAGGTGACAGTGGAAGACCACGTTGACTCTAATTCCTATGATGAATAAGATGATTCTGGAACCTCCAAGGGAAATTCCAGTATGTCCAGACCTATTACAAGGCCCCTTGACACACCACGATCCTCAAGTTCTGGTGTTGATGCGGGAGTCCATATTAGAATAGGCATCCCTGAGACGTTCATTGAGATCCTCTTACAATCCTGTACAGCCTTTACAAAGCTTGACATGCTTTTGTCTGTTGGAATTACTCCTCATCCAGGCCTTGAAAGGTTCTGTGTTATAACACTCTAGAGGAGCACTTAGCTGCACTTTGCTTCATATAGGCATTGATTGAAATCCACTCCACTGAGTGTGGAGTGTGGTCACACGGGCCCTGACTAAACCATTATTCGAACCTCTAGAAGGAGCTTCCATGGTGGTAGCACAGAAAGTGCTGGTGGCTGGTACCCCAGCAAGGAAAATGGGTGAACTCCAGGCTTGATCCTGTGAACCCCCTTTCATTACTTTTCAACAGATATGGTCGTCTTGCATTTGGCACCTGAAGATCCTGCCTATGGTGAATGCTTATCTATGTCATTCTCTACCTGTACTGAAGGGTACCCATTGAGCATTGATGCCCCCGGTGCTTTGCTTCATGTAAGCAACAATTGAACTCAAGTCTCCGCTGAGGGTGTTGAAACCAATATGTGACCTACCACTGGTCTCACGGGCTCTGACTAAACCATCATTTGAACCTCTAGCAGGAGCTTCCATGATGTTAGCACATACGTTGCTGTTGCTGGTGACTGGTACCTCAGCAGGGTGAATGTGTGAACTCCAGGCTTGATCCTGTGTACCCCCATTCATTGAATTTCAACAGGATATGGATATCTTGCATGTAACACCAGAGATCCTGTCTAAAGTGAGGCTTTCAATGCCATTCTCTACCTGTACCAAAGGATTTGGGGGCATTCTCATACTGTTCGTTTAACACAATTTGGTACTCAAGTACTTAACTCAGTTCATTCTTCAGTTCATTCTTCTATGTTGAATTATTCTGATTATTTGATTGGCTATTCTGTCCCTCCCTTTGTAAGCTTGGGTATTCCCCATGTGTATGTGCTGCCATGACTAGCCAGGAAAGTGGAAAATGTATGCATACTTACCGTAATTTTCTTTTCCTGGCTATTATTCATGGCAGCATATACCCTCCCTTCCCCTTCTGTCTCTTTGTACTGTAGAGCTTGTAAACTGACTGAGGACCTTAGGGATGGAGCCTACTTTTAAAACCTTGGTGGTTTTCCTGTCCTATCGGCTGTAAGGGGAGGAGCTAACCCATGTGTATATGCTGCCATGAATAATAGCCAGGAAAAGAAAATTAAGGGGCCATTAAGATGTTGAGGGCAGAACACATTCTAAATATTGTTGTGAAGTCAGCAATCCCTGAATGAAATAATACAGTGTTAATATTAAATGAGCATTGTAGGAGATTTGATGTCATTTCCACCGTACTGTGAAGGGTAGCCAACTCTTGAGGCAGGTTTTTCCACACTTTGTCTATGACAAGATGTCAGAACATAGAGAAACTGCACCTTCGAAATACTGGAGAGGATTTTGGAGCAGCAAAGGGCAGCATCGATAGTCTGGCAACAGATCAGTATACTGGTATTGTATCTCCACTGGGTAGAGATGATTGGACAGTTGTTGATCAGCTAGTGGCAATCCTAAAACCACCTAGTGTTGTCACTGAAAACTTGATATTTTACAACCTCTTTTATAGTTTCTACTCGTTGCAATTTCTTGCTATTGACATTTTAAAGGCTAAGAGTGTATGAATGAGTATACATTTTTTATTATTATAGGCTAAGGCTGGCATTTCAGGTGTCCATACTTGTCTAATTCCTAATAACCTATTAGCAGTCTAGGCAGGGCAGTCTTTCCCCATGGGCACGCTGGGCAGTTGCCTGGGCTCCCCACAGGCATGGGGACCCCACCACGCTGGCCAAGTTGCCCCGATGACAGAATAGATCCTTTGATCTCACCTATCGGGCCATGGAGAGCTAGCTCTGTTTTATGACCATGGGCCCTTTCGGGCCGGTGAGGAGATCAGCGATTTCCCTCAACGGCCCAAGGGCCCTTCGATCGGGAAGAGATGGCGGGAGGACCTGGAGGCTGGATCAGGGAAGCAGAACGCTCCTCCACACAGCATTGTGCCCTTAGAGAGGACAGGAGAACCTGCAGCCAGATTAGCTGCAGGCTACATATAACTTACCACCTCTGTGTCACGACAGTGACCAAAGTCACAACAGTGACCCCTTCACACAGCGTGAAACCCACAGAAAGACGGTTACCGGACCTTAGAATGGCCGGACTAGCGTCTGAGAATAGTCAAGAGAAATAGCCAGAGGTCAAGGGAATACGGAAGACGGGTACACGAATATCCAAGCCAAGATATGGGAAACCAGAACACAGAATAGTCAGAGAAATAGCCAAGGGTCAAATACCAGGAAGAACAATCAGAAAAGATAGCACCAGGGGACTTAAACAAGAACCACACTAGGGCATCTGACAAGTGTCATGATAGCCCTTTTATAGTGTGTGTTCTTTGGCTTTAATTTTGTAGCCACGCCCCCAAAAAGTCCGGGAGCGTGGCCACGTTTGAATTTTGGCGCCATTTTTAGTCTGACGTCGGCGCGCATGCGCCGCGTCATAAATGTGGGCGTGATCCGAGCGGCCGGCGTCAGAAAGGCTGAGCCGCCCCCCGGAAGGATCGGAGGAGGACCCGGCGCTGCGCGGGATCGGCGGGGAAAGGTAAGCGCTTGTTACAGTACCCCCCCCTCGAGAACCGCCCCCAGGGCGGGTGGAACCGAACCCACAAGAGCGCCGCCTCTCAAACAGACGAACCAGGCGAGGGGCGTGAACATCTGATGCATTGACCCACGATCGCTCCTCGGGACCGTACCCTTTCCAATCAAGGAGATACTGTAATTTACCCCGATAAATCCGGGAATCTAATATAGATTTAACTTCGTATTCGACATGATCCTCCACGGGTGCGGTAGGAGGAGTGGAGACAATTTGCGTATAACGATTACAAATGAACGGTTTGAGAAGGGAAACATGAAAAACATTAGGAATTTTCATAGTATTTGGCAATCTCAAACTATAACAGACCGGATTGATGCGTTTGAGAATCTGAAACGGGCCTATGAAACGGGGAGCAAATTTCATCGAGGGTACCTTTAACTTTATGTTGCGGGTACTCAACCAAACTCTGTCACCTGCTACGAACGTAGGAGCAGCCCTGCGTCGTCTATCCGCATTATTCTTTTGAATCTGAGACTTTTGAGTTAAGATATGTTTAACCCCTAGCCAAGTTTCTTTCATATTGTGAAGAGTACTGTCAACACTAGGCACTCCTGTAGATGAAAAGGAACTCGGCAAAGTTGTAGGATTAAACCCATAATTAATAAAAAAGGGACTATGTTGAGTGGATTCGTGTATTAGATTATTATGGGCGAATTCAGCCCATGGAAGTAGTTCCACCCAATCGTCTTGGTGCTCAGAAATGAAACAGCGGATGTATTGTTCCAGGCATTGATTCATCCTTTCCGTAACCCAATTAGATTGGGGATGATAAGAAGAAGAAAGGTTAAGGACAATACCTAATTGGTCACAAAATGCCCTCCAGAACCGTGAAATGAACTGTGGACCCCTGTCAGATGTAATATCTTGAGGTATGCAATGTAAACGTACTACCTCCTTTATAAATAAAGAGGCCAGTTCAGAAGAAGGTAATTTGATTAGTGGGATGAGATGAGTCATCTTAGAGAATCTGTCGATTA